CGAATCCTGAATATTCATAAATAAAGAAGTTATATAATTTCTTACGTCTGTTGTCCAATCTCGTCAAAGAAATGGTTATTAAATCGGTAAAAATTGATTTTTTTTTTTTTTTTTTTTTTTTTTATGCACGTATACTGTGTAGATGTATGGTACAGCACAACCAACGGAGAAGTGGGACCTGTACAGTGTGAGAGGCATCTTTCGCCCCACAACGGCAAAGTCGCCGTCTCACTCGAGCAGCTGCGCGCAATTAAATTCACGGGGCTTGATTTTCACCGGTGGAAGTATACAAACTGCCGCGGCTTCGTTCGATCGAGTTATTTCCTCGGGAGGGGAGGTAGGAAACGAGTACAAAAGAAGAGGGGAAAAATATAAATACGTGCCATTACCAGTGCAGCGCCGGCCATCGAAAATGATTGCTTTTTTAACTGCAGCGCTACTCGTCGGGCGCCAAGTGCTAATGAACCGCGTTTATAAGCATAGCGAGAATTCTCCGAACAACTTACTCTGCGCCTNACGATGATTTTTTAGGGTAACTCGTAAAATGAACTTTGAAAAAGAAGTTTTTTTTATTGATTACACATAAAATTAAAATAAAAAAATGACGAGAGCATGTATATATGTAGCAAATATTTTAAATTAAATGAAGTTGTAACTTTGGAATTATAGTTTTGATTTTTGATTGACATTTAGTTCTCATCCCAGTTCCCTTGTTTACTTTTTTTTTTGTGACGCACCATTTGTAAAATTGGCTTAAACAATTAACATCTTAAAAACTAAATCACCTTGTGTATCACGGTGTATCACTGTATATCACAATGTTTACATGTCTGGATAAGGTTAGGAAATCTGTTTACGGTCGAAGATCACCGATAATATAGAGAACTCCCGTGCTAGTAGCACCCCGCCCTAAGGTGCCGGTCATTCCCCATATCGAACACGTTATTATTTTTTAAAAAACTTTTTTTCCATGCCTTCAACAGCAAATTAAAAAAAAGCATGTTGAAGCTCAAGGTTTAATCTACAAAATATACATCATAAGATAGTTTAAAACAGGTTCGTTTGTACCGAGTGTGTGCGATTAAAAATGTGAGAGCAGGCACTCTATTAGATAAAATTTTACATTTTTTTCATTATACTTACGCTGCATTGTTTAGTGTTTTACTTGGAGAGGAAAAAAGTAATCACATTAGGAATCGTTATTCACAAGGTTTGAATTGAAAATATTTTATCATTCGGGAGAAACTGAGGTTCTAGAGTTACCTTGTAAGCTTGTCATTCCCCGGTCTCCCCTACACTGATAGTACACTGGTAGCAGGCGCGCGCGCTCTCTTTTTCTCTTTCTTTCTCTCGGCTTCATCAAACGGCGCGAAAATTTAAAATTGAAATTAGAAAAGAAACTCGAAAGTAAAACAGGCGAAGTACAAATTTTCAAGATAACATATGAGCCAGTAAAATATCGAAAAACTCCAATCGGAATATTCTACGTAAGCACCCTATCTAGCACACATTAGTCTTCTTGTGGCAAATGCGTTGCGTCAGATAATGGCGTGATGTTCCAAGGGAAGATTTTGGCCATACATAGACATCCTATTTTGTCTACATATATATGTAGTAATTGTATATACCTATATAGGAACAGTTTACAGAATAATTTTCCATAGAATTTTCAGAACCTTTCAAAATTTAAAGAGAGCAGCTATAGATTAAAGAAATTAAATGATTTATTTAATAGACGGATAAAACTTTGATCTTTTTAAAAAATATATACATTAAAAACACTTTGATTATCCTCATTGACTCTAGCAATTTGTAAAGCGCGATATACGTAGCATTTTTTTGCTAGTTAAAGACCTTGCTTATTTATGTAAAATAATAACAAAATCTTATGAAAATTGAGAATAGTAATATTAAGATTGTTCAAAATTCACTCATATTTTTCCAGCATGTGTTATAATATCAAATATTGAGAAATAACACGATAAAAAACAGCGCTCTCATGAGCGACTGCCGAATTAGCATAAAAAAATTATGATACAAATAATACACGTAACCAAAACTTACAGGACTGATAAAAACTATTCAAAGAGTAATCATGCGAAGTTTTAATCCATGTTATAATAGTTTTTACAGACTTCAACATTAAAATGATTGAAATCCCTTTAAAAATCACTTTTTAGGTTAGTATAGAGCTATGCAAATCCATTCAAGACAAGGTAACACAAGTGTGTTATGAATTTTCGAAAAACGAACTTTTATTAGCACAGCATTATAGTTTGAAGTCTTAAGAAGGGCTGGGCCAAGTTTTAGATCATAATTTCCAGTTTAACGAATTCTAGAAGCAATTTTGTAAAGTCGTCTCGCTCCGTGTGAAAAGACCAGCTACATACACTTAGCATAAAACGCATCTGTCACATCCGGTCACACACTTATTTCGGATCGCGTTTTAATATTCAAAATATATGCACAGCTAAAAGGGTAAGAAAAAACATGTGGTACCACCTTATCATCAATAGAGTAGTATAACACGCCAGTGAATGTCACTTTAGGACGTTCATCACACATAAATTTTTTGCCATATTATTGGAATGTTTAATGTATATTCGTTGTATTATAAAAAATACCCACAAAAAATTACGAATCTATTTAACATGTAACCTTATAGAAAATTTACTAACTGTACTTATAAGGAAATGAACTGAATAAATTTCCCAATTTTTGTACTATGTATAACTATGAGATAAACCTATTAAATTTTTATAAAGACCAACAAGTTGTTTTTTAATAAAATAAGAAAGAATTGATCAAGTATGCATAAAAGTATATACATAGGTATGTCCATGTGAGCAACATAACAGCCAGCATTGCTGCATATTTGCTGCACTTCTCACCTCTCTGTACTTTTACCCCACTATTTGTGACGAAATTCTTTAAGTCAAAAAATCACGAATAAGTAAATCGATAGAATAAAAATAAAAATAAAAATCAATGAACGTTGTAACAGGTTCTTGTACACATAACCGTTGATAAGAAAAAAAAATGTAAAACTGCTTGAATTTTTTTTTTCTGAAAAAAAATTTAAAAAATGTATAAATGATTTAGTTATTTCAAAAATTAAATAACTATTCATCAATATGCAGAAAAGCTGATATTTACGAATATTTGTATGTTTGTTTTGGTAAAAATTATTT